TTTCGTAGCACAGGTGCGATAGTGTGAGACTTTTCTCACCCCCTCTTCACCTCTGAGCCGGAGCCAAGGTGACCCCCTTCACCAAAAACCGAGAAAAAAATCAACAGTGAGGTAAGGTTAAGCAAAGGAGGTATTTGTACGTGAATTGTCAATGTATAGAAAAGGAGGAGTCTGTTGAAAAAAGTGCTTGGTGAAGGGTGTGAGTAGTGATTTCTGGAGATTTTCGAGTTTTTGACATAAAAAAAATTCATAACTTTTTTAGATAAACATCTTTCATGGTGAGATGGTCATCGTTAGAACCGCCTCGTTCTCCGCTTTAAAAAAATATACAGCGTGTTTAAGATCCGTTTGAAAAAGTGCCTGTTGCAGGATGTGCCTGGCGATTTTTGGGAATTTTCGAGTTTTCAGGATAAAAAAATCCGTGACTACTGCAGATGAACGCTGGTGCAAGGAAATAGTATCCATCGAAACCGCCTCATCCTCCGCTTTCAAAAAATATATAGCATGTCTGAAACCCTTTCGAAAAAGTGCCTGGGTGAAGGGTGTGCTTGGTGATATTTGAAGATACTCTATTTTTTATCATAAAAAAATTCGTAACTTTTTTAGATGAACATCTTTTACGACGAGATAGCTACCATTGGAACCGTCTTGTCCTCCGCTATCAGAAAATATATACTTTGCCTGGGGTCCGTTAAAAAAAGTGCCGGGTGAAGGGTGTGTGAGACTTCTATAATGGGAGTGCTCAAGTACAGGCCTTTTTACCATTGTAAAGAGATGTTTACTTGAGCACTCCCATTATAAAAGTCTCTCCCGCCCTTCACCCGGCACTTTTTCTAAAGGACCCCAGGCAAAGTATAAATTTTCTGAAAGCGAAGGATGAGACGGTTCCAATGGTGACCATCTCGGTGTACAAGATGTTCATCTACAGAAGTTACGGATTTTCTAACCTAAAAAACTCGAAAATCTCCAAAAATCACTAGGACACCATTCACCCAGGCACTTTTTTCAACGGACCCCAAACATAGTTTATGTTTTCTGAAAGAGGAGGATGAGACGGTTCCAATGGCTACCATCTCGTCTTATAATATGTTCAACTACAAAAGTTATGAATTTTTTAATGCTAAAAACTCGAAAATCTCCAAAAATCATTACTCACATCCGTCACCAAGCCCTTTTTTTCAACAGACTCCTCCTTTCCTATACATAAACAATTCACGTACAAATATCTTCTTTGCTTAACCTTACCTTACTGTTGATTATTTTTCTCGGTTTGGTGAAGGGGGTCATCTTGGTCCCGGCTCAGGGGTGAAGGGAGGGTGAGAAAATTTTCACGCTATCGCACCTGTGATTCACAGCTACAAAGCCACCTCTCATTTCCAATCACTACTACGTTTTTTGAGCCCGAAATTTTTTCTGCTTATACAACATCAAAATATGAAACATCTGTTACACTTGGAAGCAGTCGCCTTTTCAAAAAGGAGATTCATCCTGCATTTTTTTTGCTTCAAAATATATAAAAAGTTATAGTGTATGGAAAACTGCCTTTTCGTCGAATTTTCAAGCATTTGTTTGACTCGGATGAAGGTCCTATGCTTCGCCGAGCCTTCGCAATGAATATGGTGAAAGCGCAGAAGTCAACATGGCGTAGCCGCTGATATGATAAACGAGCCCTAACCTCACCTCCAGGTAGACGAGTTTTCGAACCGCAAAAATGGGGTTCTAATGCCCGAAAATCTCTGACGTGCTCAGCACGTCGCCTGTACAACGATAGACTCGTGTGCATAGCTTGAACGTCATCGCAACTCTCAGGATTTTGTTTCCGCCTTGGACGATGTTTCATATTTTGATGTTGTATATGTACAAAAAATTTCAGGTTCAAAAAGCGTAGTACTGATTGGAAATGAGAGGTGCATAGCTGTGACCAGCCTTGAAAAAACCCCTTTTTTCAAATTTTTCAGTTTTTCTCCGGCCAAAACCAATGAAACTGGGAGCCGTCCTGGTCAATGATATGACGTTAGTTTGCACACAGAATAGTGGTTTTTCAGGCAATTTCGAACAAGAGAGAGCAAATTACAGTGATTTTTGGGGTGGCTTTATAGCTATGATCAGCACTGTATGATATATAGATTGTCGTAATTGGGCTCCGAACAACGAATAGAAGGGTACCAGAACCAAATGCCCCCGCGCCCCGCATTTGAGGTAGCGCGCAACGCGCGGAGACGCAGACGAGCAGCGGAGAAAGACCAGAGCCGGCGGGGCATTTGGCTCTGGTCGTTGATCTCCGCGGGGTCATAACGAAACCCTATAACATTATACAGTGCTGGCCAAAACTATACTTCCACCCTGAAAACTGCCGTAACTCACTCATCTGCTTCTCAACGAATTGATCTGAAATTTGGTACAGCTGTGTGTTTAACAGGCTGTCATCAGCACCTAGAACGGATCCCGTTTTGTTTGTTTATTCAGGAAAAAATCAGAAATTTCGAAAAAAGCAGGCTTGAAGGTTGGCCAAAACTATACTTCCACTTAAGATTTCTGTCTAAGGTAATTCTCCGCTTCCAAAGTCTTTTGTGCATATACATAGTCAAAAGTCAAAACAGTCGCTTTAGTCCAGCTGTCTCATACATTTATAAAAAACGCTATTCTGCTTTTTTTTCGCTTAAAAATAAGGTATTTTGTTCCCGAGAATGTGTTTTTATGGCTAATTTCGCAGTTTCTTGAATGGCTTGGAAGCGATAGGGCTCCATCTATCTTATAGATGCTTAGCGAAGTGAGAACTAGAAAAAAATTTGAGTTTTCATTTTTAAAGGGCACCCAACATAGACCTAAGCGCAGGCCTGCGCTCAAATTTTTGCCTTCAAACTCCTCCTGCAATGTCCTCATGAGCGTGAGGTAGAGTACTAACATTGTTGTACGTGTGAGAGTCCGAATGCAGTGGTTGCAGATTTCCGCAGGTCCTAGCATGCAGGTTAATTGAGGAAATCAACCTGCAAAAACTGATTTGCAAAAAGCCTTGAACTTATTTTTGGTTCTGACAGTACTGCTCACGTGAGTCACAAGGTAACGTACAATACAGAGTGTTTTCTCTATCTAGCAACTAAATAGTGGCAAAAATAGGGAAAGATATCACTTGGTAAGTACTTTGGGATTGCCTAATTATTATCATTGAACAGCAAAGATTTATGCTTTGAAAACGAAGCAAAATGCGACTTGGCGAACAGTCGTGAGTATAGTGTACAAACTTCTTTTTATGTAAATAATCTTTCTACATCATGTAGAGCTTACAAAAATAACATAAACCAACTTTGAAGGCAAAATTTGAGCGCAGGCCTGCTGTTAGGTCTATGTCGGGTGCACTTTAAATATGAAAACTCAAATTTTTTTCTAGTTCTCACTTCGCTAAGCATCTATAAGATAGATGGAGCCCTATCGCTTCCAAGCCAGTCAAGAAACTGCGTAATTAGCCATAAAAACACATTCTCGGGAACAAAATACCTGTGAAAGTATTTTTAAGCGAAAAAAAAGCAGAATAGCGTTTCTAAAGGTATGAGACAGCTGGACTAAAGCGACTGTTTTGACTTTTGACTATGTATATGCACAAAAGATTTTGGAAGCGGACAATTACCTTAGTGGACAGAAACCTTAAGTGGAAGTATAGTTTTGGCCAACCTTCAAGCCTGCTTTTTTCGAAATTTTTGATTTTTTCCTGAATAAACAAACAAAAACGGGATCCGTTCTAGGTGCTGATGGTAGCCTGTTAGACACACAGCTGTACCAAATTTCAGATCAATTCGTTGAGAAGCAGATGAGTTACGGCAGTTTTCAGGGTGGAAGTATAGTTTTGGCCAGCACTGTATTAGGTTGCCCCAAAAGTAAAACGTATTTCTAAATAAATCAAATTGTATTTGTTTTTCTGGCAGGCTTGAGGCACCATTCGATAGAGCGAAGCAAGTCTACAAAATCACCTCCGAAGAACCTTCTAAGTCGCTATCAAGGTAAAGTTTGAATCCAAAAATCAAAATTTTCAGCTACCCCAAAAATCGGATCTCCTTCTAGAAAATTCCTACGGACTTCCAACTTGGTCTTTATTTAGTAGATACATAGTAGTACCGAAAGATGTTTTTGGTTGTGCCAAAATGCCACAATTTTCGGGTTTTTCATGTAAAACTTGGTATTCCTCAATTATAAGAGCACATACAGGATTAAAGTTTTGAAGTTATACTTAGTAAGGCTTGTGGTATACAATGAGGAGTGGCTGGGGGCGGAGTTTGCCATTTTCAGACTATTTCTTTTTCTCCCTTTCTAAGCTCGGAAAAAATCCAGTAAAGGCATATTTGAGTTCTACTGTGTCTACTGTATAATGACCAAGTTTGAATTTAGTACAACTATTCTTCGCAAAAATCCAATTTTCAGGTAATAAATTTTTTCCCGATTTTTGCTTCAAACTTTACATGGAATGCGACATAGGCGGATCCTTGATGGTCATTTTGCAGAGCTTGCTTTGCTCTATTGAATGGTACCCCAAGTCTGCCAGAAAAACAAAAACAGTTTGATTTATCCAAAAATACGGCTTACTTTTGAGACAACCTAATATATCGTTGTGATCCTTATGAGACGGCCAGGAGCAGTGACAATGTCGCGAATCTTGAAAATCACTCCATAACGAGATAGACCAGCATTTATATAGCCACTCTCTTCCCAAGATTTGAGCGCAGTTTCCCGTTTTTACTGAACTCCAGCGGCTTCCATGAACTTCCAACGCTCAATCGTTGTCTAAAGAAAGAATAACTGTAAACTTTCTTCTTAGTTTCTAATTGAATTTCTAAGGAAACCTTCTTTCCAGCAAAAAAAGTCATGAAAACGGAATCCTTCGGGTTTTTGAGCTTTTGGATGTCACTACTATATTTGCCTCAATCAAATTTATCTCTATATGGTTATGTCATTAGTTATGTCATAATATCCGGGGCTTCGCCTCGGATGACTTCTGTACTTCTTTCCAGGTGAAGGTTCTGTTCTATCACGACTCTCAAAGTGAAGGTTACCAGAGCACATGGCTCAATGTATCGAAGGTGTGTTCCAGACTATTGCACGATGTTCTTTCAACTGCTAAAATATATCAATTTTGAAAGCACTTACCTACCGAGCATGCTTAATGGCGAGGAAGACTATCCCCAAAATCATTATGAGAATGTTTTGCACAATCTTTTTTTTGTGAGACCATTGCAACGAAAGATTACCATTTCAAAACGCTTACGTAAACGCGCTTTTTATGAAACATGTTCAATTACTATAAAACTAGCTTAGCAATCATTTTGACAAAGTAGCATTCAGCTAATATCTTTCACCACTTTAGGCTCCCGCCAGAGTGCCGAAGCCATGCCAGCGCTACGCCAGCGCCGAGCCAGCGTTTCGATCGATACACGTGTGTTCGTTCGGGACATCTACCTGCTGAGAACTAGGTCAGCTAATCCCGCCCCAACGAAATACACGTGTATCTCGAAACGCTGGCGTAGCGCTGGCATAGCTTCGGCACTCTGGCGGGAGCCTTAGTATTCCCGTAAACTTGGCTTCTTCATCGTACTAGAAAAGATTGGTTGCTTCTAAAGACCTACAGACGATTAAGCGCATGATAAAGCCAAGAAAACGACTGAACAAATAAAAGAAACTGAATTAAGCAAATAACACTATGAAATGGATTGCGAAATAGTGTGATAAGCAGAACGAGCAAGTGTATACATAAGCATTTGGTAGGAAGAGTATGGCGAAGGCGAGTAGGAATATTGCAGAAGTGTTTAAGAATAAAATAAAATTATTTTCACCTTTTCGAAAATTTGGCATTTTTTATTTTGGTTTGTCAATGTTAATGCTTATTACTAATCAAGCTCGGTGCAAACTTTTGAACGTCATACTATAAGGCTTGCTTCGATTCTGAGGGCCGCATGCACTAGCATTCCCGCTGGGGAGGGGATCGCAGCTTCAGAAGAAAGCTTCATATCCTGAAGTTCCGGATATCTGGATTTCACGCTGTCTATCTGTCCTAAGTAGTCCTACCATCCTTCATTATGAACATATTGAGCAGAAGCGAGAAGCTGCACGAGCCGCATTTCCCAGCTTTTTGTAAGATCCCCTGATAATCCCTGGGGGACGAACAACTATTCTTCAAGTCATTTTTCTTTCTCCGAAGTTAACGAAAACCTTCCAAAGTTATACTGAAGATCTAACACAACAGTGCTAAGCATGTTGCTGATGAGAACAAATGAATTTTTGAAAAATCGAATTTTTCGGTGTACCCCAAATTTCGACCTGTGGATCATCGAAAACTTCATGACTTCAAAACATCATTTGTTCTTATCAGCAACATGCTTAGCACTGTTGGGTTAGATAATCTACACAATTATGGAAGTTTTTCGTTAACTTCGGAGAAAGAAAAATGACTTTGAAGAAAAGCGCCGGGGATCATCAGGGATCATACAAAAGCTGTAAAATGCGGTTTGTACAGCTTCTCGCTCCTGTTCAACATGTTCATAGTGAAGGATAGTAGGAATACTTACGGATAGGTACACAACGTGAAATCCAAGTATCTGGAGTTTCGAAATATGAAGCTTTCTTCAAAGCTGCGATCCCCTCCCCGCGGCCATGTTAGTGCATGCGTCCCTAAATGGTACTCCTCCTCCCCTCCCCTCCCACTCTTTTTAGAATCAAGAACTGACTTATGTTAATGAAAACTCGAATATGAAAATTAAGAGACAACTTAATGCTCATCGTTTTACTGTGTTAACACTCTTTGTTTTCACTAGGGTGGGTGGTCTGTTTCCTACTTATCGACTGGAACGATGCCTAGGGTTGGTATACAATGATTCTTCTCCTTCAAGCGAATTACCACCTGATATATGTAGTACTTCACTTTCTAGCGAGATTTCCGCCAAATAAGTTAAATATTTTCGTGTATGAGTGCTGCCTACATTTGCTGTCAAAACCAAAATATCTAGGCTAACGTCTCTGGTGTGTATTTTGTTCGCAAATCCTAAGATAGCCACGTCTACTACCTACGCCTGCCCTTTGACTACTCCATCGGTGCTTTTTCAATGAGTGGTGCCTCAGCCTCTAGCCACACCCTGACGCATCAATCACGAGGCAATGACAAAGACTTGCTCCACCCACGATTACGGTGGAACAAATGCAGGCCTGCTGGTGAATGTGCATAGGGTTGAAATGAATATAGCTGGGCGTAGCAAGTCAAGAAGTCACAAGTGGAAGAAAGCAATTCATCCCTAATAAATCCACACGAAAAAAGACCGCGCTTTCAGGGCTTTGTAAACAGCCATCTTGGTCACGTAAGCTAAGTTTTACCCCTGACAGCAGATAAACTACCACCGCACCTTATGTTTCTTGGTATTAGTGCATTATGCAGTGGCGTCTTGACAGAAATATCCACTTAAACGTACAAGAAGCTGTCCGAGTTCACCACTCTACGTAGCGTGAACAATTACTCAAAAGTAGGTGTTGAAAAATTACAGCGTCAGTATCGTTTTTTGTCAAAACGTCTGATATTGCTACTGCCAAAATCAAATTAGAATCATCGTTTTCAAAGTGTGCTTGAAACACTCTTTTACTACAATTACACTTTTTACTAACAAGCTGAGGTGTCATTCTCTACTCCAATGTTTTGTAGACCTTTTGGCTGGGGGATCTAACCCTTAGAGTGCAAAGTCACGAAATGGCTTACTTTCACAATCTATGGGATGTCATCAATCCCGCATCATATAAAAACTATCTATTTCGGTCGAACAAGGTTTGAAATATCTTGCAGCTTTTGCACTTATTAAATGACCATTTGAGAACTGACCATTTCGTTTGGACACAAGTTCTATTGAAAAAAATTTCTTCTTTCCACCAAAAAATTGATATCTTATATATAAAGCTGAATGTCTGTTTGTCTGTCTGTATGTCTGTCTGTCTGTCTGTACGTATGTTCCGAATAGAAAATTCCATTTCTGAACCGATCGGGAACAAACTTGGCATACATACACTTTGGGCCCCGGCGGGTGTCATAGGCTACTTTTCGTCATCGATCAATATCGATTTTATCGATTTTTTGCAAAATTTGAGCTACGGGGCTGGGAGTTGGCACAGGGGGTAATCGAGCATGCTGATCACCCCCGTGGGGAAAAGCGAAAAGTGGACTGTGACACCCGCCGGGGCCCGAAGTGTATGTGTGTCAAGTTTGGTCCGGATCGGTTAAGAAATGGAATTTTCTATTTGGAACATACGGCGGAGCCGGGTAAGCCAGCTAGTCTACTATACGAAACAGGTAAAGCATTGCATTTAAGACGGTTACTTGCACACAATCTGGCCGAGGTGCGCTTTGCGACCGCAGACGTTTGGTGACACCTCATAAGCACTGCATCGGTTTAGCAAACGATTAACAAATTGTGATGCATCAAAGAAAATCGAGAGAATGTTATCACTAAGTAGAGAAGAACAGTACAAAGAGAAACGTTCTTATGACATTAAGAATGGATTGAAGACGCTGCAGAAAACGGTTGAAGTTGTATCTTGTATTATACTTGTGTGTTCTACAAACTATTGCGTGATTAAGCTCAATTTCTCATCGTTCTAACACTGTGAGAAGCTAAAAGGGGAGCGAAAGCAATTAAAATTGTCTTAATTAAAGCATAGTTGCCAGTTAGGTATTGTCTTGTTAAAGAACGTAATTTTTATAGAAAAATGTAGCAGATGTTCCATATCACTGCCACGACTATTTGAGAGGGTGAAAAAAGTACAATGCGGTCGCGACTGAGCTAACAAGTAGGATGTTAAAGGTAAAAATGCCGCTTTTTCGTTGGAAGAGTTTTCGTGTGTATGCGCTCAAGCATGGTCAATGCGTTCGCTTTAGATTCGTTCAGGTGCAGATTGCGTTTCTGCAGAGCGCTGCAAGCTACAATTTACAAAAAGGTTTTAGTAGCTTGGACTAACTGAAAATACCGAGTTTTCTCGATTTCTTGTTCTCTTGTCACCCATTTGTCGCTGGAAAGCATTTGCCTTTGGGAAATTCTTCAGGCGAATAAACTTCATAGATTATCTTTGCATGTCAAAGGCGGGGACTATTCTTTGGTATGCTATTTCTACTAAGCTGAGCTTCTGCGCATACATACGCGGTTCAGCAGCTTATCTTCAATCTAGAGCTTCAATGCTATGTTAATGTACCGGTTACGACGGTTTAATTGCGTGATTTTGAGATTCCATGAAGTTTTGTACAGCATTGTCTGAGGAGTATGAGCCCCAATGAGTTTTCCTTATACAATGTAAAATACGGGACAAACTCGGTGCTGACTGACTGTGGCGCATGCCTACAATACCGCTTACAGTTTAAAAAAAAGCCACGAATGTCGCATCATGTATGAACATCACCGTCGCGTGACCACATCTCGCTTCAGAGTAGACGAATTCTGCATCTAAAGCCACCATTCGTCTCAGCTTGGCGCGGCGATCTTCTAATATATAGAAGTGAACACTTGGACACAGCAGGAGGTCAGATTTCACGAATTTTTAGATTTTTGCTTACGTAGGTTACTTAGTGTGCTTATTCACTGCATCAACCTACCAAGCAATCTGGAATGATTCGTAGAATCTGACCTCCTACTGTGTCCAAATGGACACTTCTATACATCAGAAGATCGCCGCGCCGAGCTGAGTCGAATGGTGGCTTTAGATGCAGAATTCGTCCACTCTGAAGCGAGATATGGCCACGCGACGGTGATGTTTATACATGATGCGACATTCGCGTCTTTTCTCAAAAAAATGTGAGCGGTATCGTATTAAGTGGAGGTGGAGAAGGGGTCTTGTTTGCGTTGAGAGAATTTGCTTTTCGCGATTGTTATATCATCGTATAGACTGTGCGTGAGCTACTGACCTAAGAGCTATCATAGTAGAACGTTTGCGGGAAGCACTGTACACATATTGCAACCTCCATACGGTCGGCCACACACTTGCTATTAGCAAGAGGTTTTTGATCTTTCATGGAGGAGTGTTCAACAACGAAAACGGCTTCGAATTAATCTACCATTAGCAGCTCTACTTCCATCTCCCCACGATTATGAACAGACAGTAGAGATCGAAAAGTTGATGAGTCTTGGAAAACTGGTGCCACAAACAAAAAAATGATTGATTCTTTGCACGAAGCCACGATCGAGCTTCTGGTACACTGACCAAACAATTTAAAAATGCCAGGAAATTGTGTTGAATGGTTGCGAACTTTCGAGTGAACGCCTCATAAATTTTACAGAATTTTTTAGTAAATGCTTTAACCGGACGTCAGCCCCCCCCCTCGAGATTGGGTCGCGAAATATTGCAAAGTTACTTACATGTGTTACAAAAACGTGGAAGTAATTTGTTTTTACTTGTAAACAACTCAAATAATGTTTAGAAATTTTTAAAAATTCAAATTAGCCCTGTAAAAAAATTTTTGGGAGCATGGCTGCCGCCACGCTCCCTTTTTCTAAAATTTAATCTCGGAGGGGGGAAGCTTGCAGAAATTCTGGGAATCATTCCAAAAAATTTTTGGAGCGAGTGGCTAACTCCACACATCTTCATCCGAACAAAGTTTTCGTCGTTTCGTCGTCTCTCTTCCCCCTCCCCCCCCCCCCCCCCGAACGGAAATCCTGGGTACACCACTGCCGGAATTCACTATCTTCGAATGAGGGGTCTCATGTAGGCGACAATCGTAGCATTGTAGAAAGGAATTCAAACGTTGCTTACCTGTGTACGAAACGAGTGCGTAAAGTGCAGAATTCACAGGATTCGAGTTAGCATCTACTGCGATATCAATATGCTACTGATATAGAAATTATTTGGATAAAATATAGTTGGGTTGTGTTTAGATCAGTGTTTATTGCCACCACAGAAGAAATTTGGCGATGGTTTGTTATTAGCATTCTATGGTCTTTGAAAGGATAATCTCTGAATCCATCAAATTTATTTTGTCTTTATTTTTCCTTATTTGTGGCAATACGCAATAAATCAGAAGGCCAATCCGATTTTGAATGCATTTACTTAGCTTGGATGAGTCATTATGGGCGGTGCATGCACAGAGTGACGTGGCATTCAGAATATAAGGATGTCAGAAGGCAGCAGCATCAGATTCTACATTTCATATAACATTTAAGTCCATTCAAAGTCTCTCCAATATTAACAGCATCTTTACAGATGAATAACATCATAGTTATTCTCTTCGTGGCAATAGCAGTGGTTTGCGCTCATGTCGGGCGCTTTGGTCCGGAATTCCCAGGTCCTCATGGACCTAGAGCCCCCGGTCCACGTGGACCTCCAGGACCTCCCTACCTTAGATATGTGAACCACTACGCACGAAGAGAATATCAGGATATAATGATGAACCGCAAGCTGACCTTTGCCGAGAAGAAAGCAAAAATCGACGAGTGGGCTACAAAATATAATGTAAAGGTGAGTTTCAGACAAAGACTCTTACAAATTTTTTTGCAAGGTTAATTTACAGAACAATGTCGACGAATTCAATGCTGAGATGACTAAGAAGAAGGAAGAAGCGGAACAGAAAGTTACCGAGCTTATTGGAAAATTGGCAGACGCGCAGAAAAAAGTTTCTGAACTTTTCAAAAAGAAAGATCAGACTTTTGAGCAACTTTCTAAGGCTTTGAAAGATCTCGTAAAGGAAGACCCTGAGGTATTTGTAAGCAACATACAGCAACTCACTGCGAATGCCTGCTTTTAGGTATACAAGGTCCTGAGATTTGCTTTCCATCAATTCATGAAAGTGCCAGGAGGACCAGGCGGACCAGGAGGACCATGGGGACCAGTAGGCCCAGGTAAACCAGGACCATTCCCAGGAAGACCAAGAAGATGGAGAGGACCAAGAGGACCATGGGGACCAGCAGGCCCATTTGGACCACGACCATTCCCAGGAGGACCAAGAAGACAGAGAAGACCAAGAGGACCATTTGAACCAGCAGGCCCATATGGACCAGGACCATTCCCAGGAGGACCAAGAGGCCCGTGGGCACCAATGTGGCCTCATGGCGGCCACGGACGATGGTAAAACACCAACTTCAACACTGCAACAACACTCAGAATTCATTTCAGTCAAATTCAATAAAACTTGCAATCCCGTTATGAGTGTAAAAGTTACAGAAGTTTGCATATATTACACGAGTGACTTTGTATTCCACTGCCTGCAAAGAAGTTTTCCAGGCACAGTAAAATGTGGTGCAGTGTGTATCAAACAGACGCGACGAACAACTTTTCTGTTCTTTTCATAAATGAAAAATGGGGAACCCGATGTAAACGCTGCCTGATATGCTTCGAACATGATGTTCATTTATTTTCTAAACATTTCCATATACTACACAGGTTACTCTAGTAGAAAAGCCATAACTTGTCATGCTGTTCCTACTATGTCTATAACTTACTGAGCCTTTGAAGGCAGTGGATCAGCAGAATGGACCCTTCTCGGTTTTGGTGGATTAGGTAGTAGACCTCCCCAAGTACACTGTAGCCCAAACCTCACTTGCCAATTCATGCGCTAAGTCTTGGAAAATGCCCTTCAAAACTCCACCAGCCCCCTCCCCTTCCCGTTGAGTGGGCGGGGCTGGTAGAGTTTTGAAGCGCATTTTTCAGGACTTAGCGCATTGATTGGCATGTGGGGTTTGGGCTACAGTGTACTTGGGGGTCTACTACCTAAATCCACCTAAATCCAAGAAGGGTCCATTCTGCTGATCCAATGCCTTAACTTGCAAGTGACACTGTTTTTTCTTGCAATGATTAGACCAATTTCGTTTAACGTAAACAATGTCATCAAGTTCGTGGCTGTCTGTTTACCTCTTCTTTTAGTTTCGAAAGTGCCGCCCGCAAAAATCCGTAAATCATCACAAAAATATCACGCTCCTATACATTACGAGAAGCAGGTCCAAAACGTATGAAGCGCCGGTTGAGTCAGTGAGTCAAGTTGACCCACACATGATATCTCTCTCCACTGCCGTGTACAAAATGCAGGATAAGCACCAGGGCGACTCCGCCGGTTATTAAAGTAGACCCCTGCCTAAGCGATGACTGAAGTTCGGAGTGGAAAAGGGGGCCTACCAAGTCTGAAATTTGCTCCAAAAAGTGGCCCGAATCTTACGATAGGCCCAGAAGCCGCCCACACTGCAATTTCGAACTGCAAGGCCAGAGCGCGCATAGCACACCGTCATAAGGGCAGGGTCCAGCAACGACTCTGCGTCTCTGCCGTGCATGCATCTCGTATTCGCCCGAGCTACCGTAATGTCCGGGCCACCTTGGGATAAGGGGGAGAGGGGGATTGTAGGCTTCGCAGATCCCCTTTCGCGCTGCAAACTTCTGCCGTTGCTTGTTAGAAGGTAAGTCTACTATTATATTACTACCAGAGCCAAGTACTCTCAATCTGGTAGGATGCTGCCTTTAACGTAGGTAACCGGATCAAGCATAGCAATACAGGTAAGCAAAAAGCTAGATGTTGAACTGGACACTGCCTGTAAGTCATTGAAAGAAACTAAACTGCTTTTGCCTCTATCGCATTCGATTTTAAAGAAACGCTAGACTGGGCACTCGGACTCGCTCGGTCGCTGTCGACTACTACTATGATATAAATCACCGGTTTGTCCCGCTTTTACATAACATCTCCCTGTATCTGCCCCACTTATATGTGCCTATCTGTAATTTCGTACAATATGCATTACCTCTCCAACTTCCACCCGGTAGCACAGATTTCGCAAAGAAAAAATTAAAATGTACCATAAAGAGTAGATTCGCCTCGCCGCGAAATGTACGTGCACAAAGTTCGATCTGATCGGTCCAGAAGTGAATTTAATAGGACAGACAGACATGGGGATCGGTTCGAAAGTTTTTCAGTTTTCAAAATTACCCGCAAATTTCGTACTTTGTACTAAAGATGAACAAACACTTCAAACTATTCGATGCAGAATTTCATCTCCAGCTGCTATATTCTCAATGTGATTTATTTTGGGAGTGCTTAGATAACCACTGGATGTCACAACCTAAAGGGCCGGGCATACTTCACGCGATTTCAGTCGCGACGCGATTTGGCAATATTCTAACTGTCCATAACTCACTGCAAGCACGTTTCAAATGTACAGAACATAGGACATTTTATCAATCCACGTAAGTTATACAAAGTCTGCAAGTGCAGTTTGCTAATGTTGCATCTGAAGACTTCTGGCGAATTGCCAAGTCGCGTCGCGACTGAAATCGCGTGGAGTATGCCCGGCCCTCAAGGCAACTTCTCTTCTTTTTTTGGCTAATTTTGCTAGATAATCTCCGAAAAGTCTTGAGTTGTGGAAAAAACGCATTACCTAAAATCGCGTCAATATACTGAGGAGTTTTAACACTTACCACAATTAACTTTACAAATTAAATAAGTGATTTCCTCTTCAGAATATGAAGATTTGGAACTGCTATTTTTCCCGCAAACCTCGCATGCGCCAAGAAATTTACTTCAGACAGAGGAGAAAAAATTGGGGTAGAGGTACGAACTCCGCCAGTTTCAACTGCCTCCGCGGACTACTAATCCTGCAATGACATGCAGCAATGACGTGCATCGTCATATGCATGATTTAAGGTATACAATGTTCTGAAATTCGCTTTCTATCAATTCACGAAAGGACCAAGAGGACCAGGCGGACGGGTAAAATCGAGAAGAGTTGGGGGAACAGGCCCGATTCATTGGAGCCCAATTGCACCCCCACCATCACGGGGGCGTTGATGATGGAGGAAAACCACCTTCACTGCAACAGCCTAATCATCGCAGTGTTAAATTCAGTAAAGTTTCTGCATCGCAACGAGTGTAATTACAACAGATTACATACGCCGCTTACACTAAACTTTTCATCTTCTGATAAAAAATTGTCACCGCGGTTACTTCGCATGTAATAAAAAGTGTGGTTACAAGGGAGGATGTGGAGCACAATTTTTTTCGCTTCGCTAAAACTTGGGGATTGTTTGACGCGCTGACTATAGATATGTAACTCATTAGGTTTGGTGGAATTCATGCTACGCCTACACTAGGTAGCTGCGTGTCTCATAAACCCCAGCAGCATTACCGTAGCTGCGTGTCTCATAAACCCCAGCAGCATTCCGTCTACCTAGTGTAGGCGTAGCATGAATTCCACCAAACCTAATGAGTTACATATCTATAGTCATGCTGCTGGGGTAATGTAATGCTGCGGTTTATGAGACACTCAGTTGACATGGGGGGGGGTCTAAGCCGAGCCTCTTGCTCTCTACCCTGTTACAAGTCCTCAACAAGAACTCGGCACAACTTCAAATCTACAAAGTGATTAGAATAGCGATGCAGGGGTTTGCTTAAGAACAAAGTCACTAGATTCTACTCCCAGTTTAATCACTCCTTTCACTTACGTTTTGTACCGGCAGCCTTGTCCTCCAGAAGTCAATTTTTTCAACAAAAAATGCAGTGTAAGTGGCGCTTTCGTAGTATAAGGTGCTCATATCCCGGATAAAGAAAATCAGCTGCTTTTTCTAACAAAGAATAGCTATTCTATTTAGCTTGGAGTCAGGATCTAGTTAATTACGAGTAACCTGTAAATTTGAAATTTAGTCACGATCAAATATGGCGATCGCACAAATTTCAAATTTGCTGGTGTAGACTAGATGATACCTTAGCTGGTTTTAAATTATCAGAAGATCAATCTTTGTTTTGTTTTCTGAGCTAGGTATCATTTATTTCAGAGGCTTGACCCAGCAAAAGAAATTTTTTTTCCATTTTAAAAGGGTATTCGCAACATTTTCTTCTGAAAAGTTTTACCTCATCTAAGGTTTTGGAAAGTTTCAAAAGTTCGCTCGAGCTTACAACCTTATTATGTGGCAAGCAAAGCATCGCTTTCAAAGAACGTTTTACAACGCCTTGTCAACATCCAAATGCAAATGTAAACAAGTCAGCAAAGCAAATTCACGGTTTACGCAGATGATTGAAGAATTTTGCGGCGCATTTTTAAAGAAAATCCTGAGATGTGCGATGCAATACGGCCATGTTCTCTCATACTTTTGCTCTGACTATGTTGTAGAGAAGAGTATTGATTGAAGAAAGCTCAAGTAATTCATAGAATTGACACAAATAGTGTTTGCCACACACTGCACGATCCTATCATAGGATTACCGTACCCTTATGATCAACGAGTCCATTTTTCGATCCACTTGTCGTTTTGACGTCTTCGTCCAAAAATCCTCTGCACACTTTATAAATCTCGCATATTTTGAACGACCTGGCGTTCAGTGAGTAAAAAAATCACCCATAATTTGTGCCGTAAACGATTTCTGGAAGCAATAGCCTGGAGTTTTCAACGATTTCCTCAACTTGTACAATGAGTCACACCGTCCCAAAAGAACTCCACACAATGACACCTGTACCTGCATCTATCTCGTATATTGCGATGCTTTGGAAGACCCTTTGGAAGACTCAACATTGGTTCGTAATAGCTGAAGAGTTCGTGTCTAAATTACTTTGATCATGCGAAGATCCGATTCAATTCGTTCGATTCCACTGATCATGAGATTCAGCAGCGCTGGTCATCCTTCGGCTTTTGAAACGTCGCTGCCATAATTGCATACCTTGAAGGCTTACCTTCCGTATTTCCTTCGCAATAAGCTAAGAATAGAGGGTAAGTTTCTGAACTGAAAAAAATCGTGCGAAATGTTGGTGAAATTGCCTTTTTCTGGTCATCCTCTTATGCGCAATACTTACAAAAAAATGCGATGAGAGTATTGTTTTTATACTTTGTTGATGTTCTTTTCGCTAACCTAAAATGAAGTTCTTGTAGCGGTCATAAGACATGATTACATGACTTTACGGTATAAAGGAAACGCATCACTTTGAACATTTCTTTTTTATAGTGAACTAGTTGCACAACTTTATAACCCATGTAGGTAACTTTCAAAAATTTCGCAACCCGTTTTCGGGGGGGGGGGCCTCGGTACGCCACTGGTGTCTATGCAAATCGTATGGAATGATGAAAGAAGTAATTTTTCAAAAGGAGCTAACAAAAGTTTAGATTTGGTTTCTATTAGTTTTTTTTTTGAACTTATAAAACTTTGTAACTTGTTCTTACCCGCAAGTCTTCAAACTGCTTTACAAAGATTAGCTTCGTCAAAGAATGTTTGGCGGCGTAAAGCAAATCAAGAAACATTCGGTTACGCCCTTTCATATAACCAAAAAAACTTCCCTGCTCATCCCCAGCGAAGAAAAATTTCTTGGAATGCCACTAACAAATGACATTATGCCATATTTGGGGTATACAACGAATAGAATTTTGGCCAAATATATTTACAGTATCTTGGTCAGATTTTCTCGTACAATGGACCACTTTCACATTCTTGCAAATCAGAACGTCATTCTTGCAGTTTGGGGCAAAGCAACAATAGATTTGTTTCACTACTGCAAGGCCTATGTTGACTTGCTCTTTTTAGCTGATGTACACTGATTGGAAAATAGAAGTAAAACTCTCCGATGAATTTAAATCAATGACGATTACGGGCAAATGCCAAAGTGAATGTTTACATTCTTCAAAATCTCTCTGCACACGGATCACCATATCTATTGCGCGCGAAGGGGAATTAATCCCCGACGAATAGAACGCTTACGCTCTTATCATTTCACTCAATAGTATTGGAAAGAAAGGACTAAATTATATTGTTTACCCATGAAGAAACAGCGGCCAAAGTGCCAGATGAGTTCCATCTTTTGGCCACATGCGTTTCCTGGGGATTAATATTTGACACCTCAAAAAAATCTTTGCCAAGATACGCTAAAATAACCGAGTTTTCTAAAATGAAAAATGTCGTAAGAGTGACTTGACACATATGCAATCCTCTTCCCTCGTTTTTCGTGCAGGGAGGGGCGTTAATCAAAGTAGGGTCTATGTCAAAAAGCGGGATTTTCATTGCCAAATGAATACCAATAGCACATTTTAGTGTGTAGTAACGTTCTAGGGATTTTAAGTTTTTTAGGAGATGTAGAAGGTCGTTGCATGGCCTGTTTAGTTTTATTAACTTGAAGTAGATCAAAAAATAAGTGCTGGATAGCTTTTGAAGATTCAACTCCCACAAAAGTAATCTTTTCATCAAATCTTATAATGGAATTTCTTTCCTATTTATTTATTCACTAGCTTGCTAACTCGGCTCCTCTCGGCCCTGTCAAAGACTGTAATAAGGGTCCCATCCCTATCCCTGCACAGCCTCTCCCTGTGCCCACTTCTACGTTCCCTGTGCTGTTTTCGAAAGCAGCATGCCCATTTAAACCCCTGTGCCAACTCCCAGCCCTTCAGCTCAAATTTTGAAAAATCGATAAAATCGATAAAAGTAAACAGGTAATAATAAAAAGTGATATGTTATCCGTAATCAGCATGCTCGATTACCCTCCCCCCTATGCCCTTCCAGCCCCGTAGCTCGAACTTTGCAAAAAATCGATAACGATAAGTGATGGATAAGTCCAGAAACTAATATTGTATTCGGAACAGACAGACAGACAAACAGACAAACAGACAAACAGACAAACAGGCAATTGTACTGCCGGTATTTTGCGCGCGCAATCGACCGGCGTCACGGTCGAAGCTATTTGTTCAAGAAGGGTTCACCGCATTTCACCTTCTGTGCAAGCACACTATATTAAGCGGAAAATCTACTCGACTGTACTAATAGGGGTGCCATGGATTTTGCTTGAACGCTGCATTTAGGTGCGCGAAAATATACGCTATACACATTGTGTCCCAAAGGTATGCATCGAATTCGTCTAATCGTTAGCATCTCTTCCCACAAAGTCGCTTGCCGACCATTGAGAACCATTCCATAGAGCTGGCTTTAGCTTAGATTTGCAGTATGAAATGGACCACCGATCTTTCTATCTGTAGAATACGGTAGGAACATCATGGCGCCATTGTGAATTAGCTACCGCAAAAAAACCTGACAAAAAATCTCACATGTACGTAAAAGGCTCTTTTAAGCAAGTTCATCTCACTGCTCAACTGTTTACGAGTTTTCAAGGCTTTGTAAGTGGTGTAGTTTGTCAAGTAACATTGAGAAGGCTGTTGTTTAATGTAGGCTATTTCGATGCAAATTACGGCCCTCAAAACTAAGAAAGCGGTATTTTTAACGGGGCGGTCTGAAGGCTTTTTTAGGACGACTCAAGTCAGTGGATCCACACTCTCTTCTCTCAATTGTCATTTTTTTTTCAACCAGTCATCAAGAAAATTTCTACTATGGCTTGCTCCAATCCTTCCCGTACAATTGATCACTCTCCCGTAATCGAGTACTTTTTGACCACTAGCTAGCCTTAATTAGGTCACGGAGCCCCGCCTTCTCGAAGTCAACTCAGTTGAATCAAATGTTATAAACGTTGTCAATGGCGCTTAGAAGAGAGTGGGCAGTAAGACAATGCACCACAATGACTCGCCTACAACACCAAGCTCCGTTCCTTACTTTGAATTGTAATAAATGTCGAATTTGTTTCGATTAATCTCAGTAACAGTCTCAGTGTTGGCTAGCCGCCAGTTTTTTGAGTTTTCGTTTCGCCATTTTTTTGGATTTCATATTTTCTGATTTTTATGGATTTTCCAATCGAATGGCATGCAACAAATAAATATTGTCCTATACTACAGCAACAGCATGCAATTATGTTAGCGCTCTGTGATACAATACGCTAGTTGTGCTTCCTTCGGGCGCATATATTAGGTTGAGTCAAAAATAACGAGAACTTATTCGCGCACCCTTTCGAACTTTTAGCAAATTGTGTAGAGTAGTGGTAGAAAAGTAAATAGACGGTATTAACCGTAGCTTTTCTTTCTCTTTTCAGCAGCCAGGCCAACGTGCCAGTTGACTTCTTAGTTGTCGAAGAAATTTCCCAAATTCTGAACCTGTCAGTTTTGCTTTGAGTGAGTTTAGCTAATCCTCAGAACTTTTAGTTTGAGAGTTTTTAACAAGTTCGATTATCTAAGGAGAGAGCAGGTTTAGCTTGATGCAAATCATCTCTTAGGTTTTTCGAAACTAGCATTTTGAGAAAAATGCAAACGTCATTTTTTCAAAATCATTCTTCCAAAAGCCCTGAAATTTCAAAAGTCTGTGAGGTGGTATCCCATTGGGCTCAAGTGAATTCAAGAACTCAGTGGGGAAGTAAACAACTTGTTCACGCTGAACCATCGTATCAAAGGATGTGTACGCTGACACTGGTCCAGGTAAGGCTTGGAAATCTGAGCATTGATAGAATTCACTTGCTCATTTTTGGGTGCCAGAATTGCTCGTTCGCAAATTCACTCCCCATTGCTAAAATTAGTGGCAATGCTTGGGAAGACACCTTATCTATCAGTTCTCCCACCGATTAAATCAAATTGCAAAAGTCTGCAACAAAGAAAATCCAGCCAGAACTTGGTTTAACCGGAATTCTGTCTTCGCCAAGAAGCAACAGCTGTTGCGCGAAGCTTCTGGCAGTCTCATCGCCAAGGAGGTGTACGCATGTTCGTCGTGAGATTCAGCGACCAAACATGTGTTCACGCATGAGAAGCCTTAAGTCAAGCATTCATCTTATCTGCTGAAGTCGACCGCGGAATCACTGGTAGAGTCTGACGAAAGTCGCCCGCCAGTAGCACGACGGCCCCACCCATTAG